TTTTTTTATTCCTATTTATTTATTTTATCTATTTATTACCAGTATAAGATACGCTGATAAAAGACAGAAAGAAAACTGCAGGAACTCCTACACAAAGTAGTAAAAGAAAGCGAGAAGAAAAGACTAATTATCCACCAAGAGGACATAATGTATATATATTATTAAAACAGATACGAATTGCGAATTGCAAAAACACCAGAATCAAGCAAAGATATAAATTTAAATATCTTGAACGTATTATAACAGACGACGAAAAATGGCGTACAGAAACCGGAACATTCATTGAAATTCCGGAAGATGCTTTAGAGAAGCTAAACAAAGTAATCAGAAACAGGAAAATTTCGTTCGAAACAAAGAAAAGAGTGCTGAATTTCTGTGCAATATAACTCCTCTAATATTTCTGTGAATGTTGGACTTTTTTCCTCACAGATGAAGAGGATAGTTGAGAAAATAGACAGCATGTGGTTCTCTCGTCCTGGGATAAACTACATCCAGCAGCAAGGTCTCTGATTGGGAGATTGGTGGTTTTAAGAAGCGTGAAACCACCTCTTAACTGCTGTTGTACCAAGGTCCGACTTTACCCAGTGGCATTGCACCTGTTAGGGCCTCAGCTATGGGCAAATAGTGAACTCACAAACAAAAATCAACAGTACATTCTTATAATAAAATGACCAACAATACATTTTCTATTGCAAAATGACAATCAATGCAACATTAAAAAAATATAAAAATACTTTTTATAGTAAAATTACCAACATTTTATGATCTACAAACTTTATATCTAAATAATATATATATATATATAGAAGATTGTGTCTAGCATGAAACAGACTGTCGCCTCTGAGTGTTGACTTCAATTTTCTTTTACATACATATATATATATAATAATATTTTTTGTTTAAAAATATGATTCCTTCGCTACATAAGAGTTCTCATGTTTCAAAAACGAGAGCCGAAACCATCAAAATAATTATTAAACTTAATTTGAATTGTGGTGTTTAGTCCCGTTTCATCTTCAAGCGAAAATTTAGGAATAAGCTATCTCTCGGTTTACGTGTGTTTTTAGGCATGGTCCTTTACAGAATTCGTTATTGTGGGAGTGGCTAGACTATTTTCCTTCGTTAAGTGGTCAGAGAGTTAATTCTTATCAATAGATTCATCTGAGACGTTTTGCTAAGGTTGGGTAGGGTATCTATTTCAAGGCTAATGTTTGCGGTCACCCTTTAGTTGGTTCCCAGTGAGGGATATTTTTATGGCGCGCCTACAAGTCGTTATGTGTCTGGAGAATTGTCTTTTATTATTGTCCATCTGGTTATCTGTTTATTTGTTTATTCAAGTAGGTGTTTTATATACAAATCGTATTGCACTGAATTTCAATTTGATTTTTTTTTTGTTTTGTTTTTTGACGACTACAAAAATGGTTTTTCCTATTTAATGATTTGGCTAAGCTTTTAAGAGTTTTATTTAGCTATGGGATTTTTTTTATGATAATTATTTAATGCGAAAGTTTGTTGATGTCGGCAAAAAACCGTTAACTCCTGCCTATGGTTTAATAATGTTTCATTATTTAGAAATTTAATGATGTGTAGTTTTTCCTGTAGGAATAAAGAGCATGGGTCATCCTAGGTTTTACAAGTTCTTGTTTTATTCACTATTTTCAATTTTACTTTTGGTGTTTTATTCGTTTCTTTTAGATGCCAGAAATATTGGGATAGAGATGTCTGATTTCTATTTTGAATATTGTTGAAGGAGCTTTTGTGTTGCCTCCATCTAATTTTAAAATTATTCTTCGTTGAGCCTATGTATATCCTATCAGTGTTAGAATTTATTATAATAAAGCTCTACTTCTGTATGGAGCACTGTCTTCATAAAAATAAAAACAAAATGCTAAGGAACCCCGGATTATGCACATAATGTGTTCTTTTCTATTTTCTGCATACCTGCGCACTTATATATATATATATATATATATATATATATATATATATATATATATATATATATATATATATATACCGATATTGTTCATTCGGTCATCCGGAACAAGATTGTGGAGTTTAGAAAGGTCAAACTTTGTACAGTTAAAAAAGTACCCTGTTTATCTTAGATTGCCCTGGATTGGATCCAAGTGTGAAAGCATAATTAGGCAGATTCCAGCTAATGTTCATCGTTGTTTTTTTCTCGGCTGAAGTTCGTATAGTTTTCAAAACCCTGTCTATGTTTCGTTCTGGGTGCAAGGATGCTCTCCCTCCCCATCAAATTAATTCTAGTTTACAAATACAATTGTAGTTGCGGTGCTGACTACATAGGGAGAACGACTCAAAGCCTGGACATGAGAATTAAACAACATATTCCCACCAAGATCAGGAATCACACCTTGTCTTTGAATGGACGTGTCCCAAATATGGTTCCGCCATATGTGAGCACCTCTTCCATAGCAGAGAGATAATAATGGATCAACAGTACAATTAAGTGCTTTGACACACATTTCACGAGGAATGTTTGATATTACACCTTTTATTCTGTCTTCGAGTTGTTAGTAACGGCGTTTAATTGGCCCATATTTCTTTACAACTCCAACGGTGACTGCAAATGCTTACTTATAAATGTGGCAAGAGTTTGCCATTGATAACAGGCCCCTACAAATCAGATGATCAGGCTATTTTCAACAGGATGGTTCACTACCTCATTTTGGTCCGTACTGTTTGCCTTTTTCTCGATCAAAGTTTCCCAAATCGTTGGATAGGTCACGGCTGACCGTTAGCATGACCACCACACTCCCCTGATCTGACACCTTGTGACTTCTGCTTATGGGGTATGATAAATGATCGCGTGTATAGCAAAAAAAGTTAGAAACATCGAAGAACTCAAGGACAGAATATTTCCCGTGAAATGTGTGTCAAGGCACTTAATTGTACTGTTGATTGCTGGTTTTTGTGCATCAATCGTACTAGTGGACAGGTGGAGACCGTTCAGTAAACGGTGAATAAATAACTCCCCTGATACTAGTGTTAAAATAATTTTGACTTACCCTGTATAGCAGTTAACTGAAGAAGAGATGGATGCATGCTCGAAACCTCACTCTAGACCGTTCGTCGGTGGTGGGGGACAATGCATAGTTGTAAGAGAGATTTTGAACAGAATGGTGTGGCGCATGAAAAACTCAAAAGAGATATTCCTAAAAGTATTGAAGTTAATTTACCTAAAAATGTTACTACAGTACTTGATTTAACGTATAATGAATGCAGTCGTTTCTGCTTAAGTAGGGCAGGCTTCAAAAAATCACCAAAGATGTCACACACATAGAATTCACTCATTACACGTAATGCGACCTTTGTTTAAAACTACTACAACTGACGTCCCACGTTGCCACATCTGCACAAGATAATGTAAAACCCTAATTGGACTAAAAAGCCACATCTACACTTTTCATATTTGAGGATAGATCAAGCGATGGCATGCCCTGAACTCGACTGGCAGTCATCGTTACGACCAAGAAAGATGGTTTAAAAACAATTAGTGTATAAAACGCCATTGATAAATATCTGTCATTTTGTTTTTGTTTTTGTTTTTTTTTGTTAAATCAACGCGGAGTTTTGGGGGTTTTTTTTTTAAAGATTGTACGTTTTGTAAAGTTATGTCCATTCTCACACTAAAAAAAAAGCTTCCTTCTTTTCAAGATATCTTTTTAGTCTAAAACAACTTTCTCTTATTCACGGAGGATGTGTTTTTTCTAGATCAATTTGGAACAGTTTTACGCGCAGGAAAATTTAGCCACTTTGGTTTTCTTCCCAAGCACGAACATTGCAATCTGTAGCTGAGATGATTTTGTATCAAATGCAAAAAAAAAAAAAAAAAATGCTGATCACAAGGTACAACCAAATCCTCTTCAGACATCTTTGAAAGTATCGTGAAAGTATCCTTGGGTGTGTATTATGATATGAAGCTTTAAGATAATATAAAAATTACTTTTCACTATTGAATTCGTCCCTGTCAAAAAAAAAAAAAAAAAGAAAGATATAGAGAAAAATTTGACAAACGGAAATGTGTTTACATTTGTCACTTCTTTTCGCTTTCTTTATCTATTTCTTCTCCCGGTGTGTACAGAGTTTTATGGGTAACCCTTTCGCAAAGACCACTTTATCTCACTACGCATGCGCAGAAGAAAAACGCAGCAACATGGGGGGGAGGAATAAAGTCTTCGTCAAGCGAAAAGAGATAAAACTCACAACAACGCCAGTTTTATATTAGAACCTTTTTGCCCAACGAAAGCTTTTTTCCGTTATCATGTTTGTTTTTAGCCGGGCATAAAAGTTTTCATAAAAAAATATCCGAAGTGCCGTGCAACACCGAAAAAAAATATGTTGTAAAAAAAAAATTACGTTTTCACATCGGGCGTAAAGAATTGCTCGCTTACTGATCAGTTTGATTATACGCATGCGACATAAATCATAGGTTACTTATCTGCATAAGATTGACTGTGACAGATGAAGAAAGAGGAATTGTTTTCTGCGACGGATGTGTTCGCCAGATGAGAACTTTGCCGCCTAGTCTTATGTCAGTTCCGCTTCTTACTTTAATGTTCCGGAGGCGTTGTCAGAAGGCGGCAAAAGAGAGAATATAGACTGGCTTTAGATTCTGGGTGTGCTGTTATCAACCTTTATACTGGAGTTAAATTGTGTGTCAAAGACAAAGTGACAACAAGTCTTCCTTTAGAAAATATCCTACTATGTATCATAGAAGTTTACGAAGTTAATTTAATGTACACAAGCGACTTATTCTACTCTTTTGTAACGTTTTTAACTGAATTTCTAAACAATTATTTAGGTATTAGCACATAGATTTACAGAAACACATAATTGCCACTTTGTCCAACTAACATTTAGCCATCTTTGAGGAAGCTTCATAATTCCATCCTCCCAGAAACTGGCATGTTTCTGGATACTGAATTGGTCTAAGTGAATTTTACAGGTTTCCAGAGAATAAACTACTAACGGACTTATCACGTTGAAACACCGGTTCTCATACGAACACTGGAGTTAAGCAATATCGAGCCGAGTCAGTAACTAGATGGGTGGCAGTATGGGAATACCAGGTTGTTATAAGTTTGGATTATTTGGCTAATGAAACCAGAGAGTCAAGTTTCAATCCCAGTCAGGTTCTTTTAATCACTTACGCACAAATACCCTTGGGAAAAGTATGTAATTAAAACTTGTATCAGTAAAGTCATTATCTTAAAAAATCTTATAATCTAAGAATATTTTCTTGTTTTAAATAACCTGCAAAAGGTTGATGAGTCATTAAAAAGAATCAATCGATTAATCCAGAGAATTAAAATTCTTCTCATTAAGAGAATATTGCCGGGATCGAAGTAAGTGTTAATCCTAAAATCCAAGGTCAGGTGAGTATGGCGTGTGTAGTGGCGCATTTCAGCTCAGCTGCACCAACTTCTGGCAGTTTTGTAATGGGACATGAGATGGAACAAGACAAGTCAATTATCGTCTACAATTGGTTCAACTGGGAACAGTACTTTTTCGAATTTTATGTCTGATACACTGTATCACTTTATTCGAATATGGATCGGCTTTGCTTTCTCCAGGACCTTTTCTCTCCACATTGCATGTAATAATTCTTTTCCCAAAAATGGATTTTTTTTTACTGTGTTTTAATATAAGATGGCAGATGGAAATTCAATTCAAATTGAATTTTTCCCGTTAAGTCTTGAATTATCGTAACATCGTAACGTTTTATATATCGAAATGTTTTCAGTCTTCCATTTCTGAACCTGGCGAACCCCTTACAAAGAGTACTCTTAGCTACGGCACAATCTCAATAAACGGCACAGATCTTTTTTGCTGTTTGTATAGATTTTTTCCGGAAATAATAAAGCATCAGATGATGAGAATGCATTATATTTTCTTTCATTTTCAGTATTAATGTTAAAACATTTGAAATTCCCAATGATCACAGGTGATGCCAATTTCTTCCATGTCTGTAAAGAGAGGTACCATCTATGGTTGTTCTGATAAAAGACAAGCCCTTTCCGAATGTACAATTCCGGACGCATTTCATTGCTGTTTTTAATCAATTTAATTTGGAACGGTACTCGTCTGGATTCAAAGTCTGTTTTTAGATATAAACTCACAATACCTAATGCCCTTCCAATCGCAACAGATAAACAGCAACGCCTTTTGGATGCAGACCGGCTTTTGGAATGGTAAGCAGTGTTACATTTTGCTTTCCCGGGGACATTTATAGTTCCATATTATTGCAAACAATTTGTCATTGTTCTTTTTAAAAATTGGTCGTTTTGTTGCTTTTGAACAGAAAAGATAAAGCAAATGGTTCATTAAATGCTTCATTTTAATGCCCGGTAATGAAGTCTAGTAGATAAAAAGGTAGAGAGAATCAATAAAATGAAGTCGTCAAAAGAAAAAGAATTAAGAGTAGATCGTGGAAAAGAGAAGGAAGTCATAATTGCAACCGATTTCTGACAGTAATACAGCAAATCATCGACCCTTGATTTCAGGGCCGAGGACGACGCTTTCTTGAATCAGAATCTTTTGCATCTCAAATCCTCGATTCTATTAAGAGATGAATAGTATTAATCTTGACAGAGAGTCTCGTCCCACCAGCCACTTAACATATGTTTAGTGGCATTCATTGCCAGTCCGAGCCTTAACAAGGTGATTTCTCGACACATCTATCATATGTGTGTTCACTGTGGACACTGAGAAAGCCATTAATCAGAGAAGTACAAACGCCCGTGTCAAACGGATGAGTCACGCACTGACAGCTACGGTTTTACGCTCATGGTATTTCCAAAGAGATTCAGCCATCAGTAAAATTTACTTACATTTAATTATGCATATTTACCTAGACATTTACATGTAGACACACACACTATATATATATGTGTGTGTGTGTGCGTGTGTATGTGTGTGTGTGTGTGTGTGTGTGTGTGCGCGCGCTCGCACGCGCGTGCGAATAGGGAAATAGAAAGAGACCGATTAATGTGTATCAAATATCAAGTATATATGAGACTGGATCAATACGTCCGTAGCCCGAAACAGTCATTAGCTAAATTTGTAGTTGAAATTTTCTCCCTATATGGTTAATTCTGTATGTATTACGGGCAATGACAAGAAAGAAAAATATGTTGAAAAATAAACATTTGCAGATATAATGTAGACGATTTTTCATCATTTAGCTAATGACTCCTTTGTATATTTTAGATAGATAGATAGATAGATAGATAGATAGATAGATAGATAGATAGATAGATAGATAGATATGAGCAGACTGAGATAAATATCTCTTTTCTTCAATATTTAACACTCTTCCCCATAGCTGTGGCAAATTTTAAATTATGTCCATACAAGTGCCGATCAAAACCTACCGGTTCTGGTGCTATAAAACAAAACTACAATACATATCAATTCGGCATTTAATCTCCTTCCAAGTAGTCCCCTTCTGTAATCACACACTTTATCCATGGTCGTTTCTATTAATGGAAGCATACTTAGGATTCCGTTTTAGGGACAGCGAGCAGCTACTTTATGGTATTTTCTTGGATTTCAACGACATCTTGAAATCGTGTTCCTTTCCACTAGGCTTTGATTTTGGGAGAGGAAAAGTTGCAAGGGGTTTTGGACCTAAGGAATTTTGTTCTTGGCCCCAAAACAAGCCATGGTCAGGCTTTCGTTTCACTAAATGCTGTAAACAACGGGAATGTTATATTAATTTTAATCCTTTTTTAAAAATGTGGATGAGGTTATTATGCTTGTATTATCGACTAGTATGTTTCGGATGGAGTCGGGCAAGTTTGTGTGTGTGTTTACATGTATTCTAATGGAGGTGTGGCCGGATAAGTGTAACGTTCGGCGTCTGGATTGGCATGTAATCATAGTTTTCCTTTTCTATTTATTCGTATTGCCTTTGTAAGAGATATATTTTATTTATATCTGAATTTTACATGATCACAAACGCGCACACAGAATGAAATGGATTAAGTCCCACAATTATTTAATATATTTTCTGTTTATTCATTATTTTTATAGACGCAACTTAATTCAGTAAAATGCTCTGTTTTTAATTAAACAGTATTAATTACATTTACTGGCCTGATTGTTCGAGAAAAATTCGTAGAAAATAGGTGCTCTCCGACAGGAATCGAACCTGTATACGTAAACCGTTATTTGATCTGACGTGCTATACCACTCAGCTACAGGAAAACCAAAGTCCAGATTACTATTTATAATAACGTATAAACAGAAAATATATTAAATAAGTGTCGTACTTAATCCATTTCGTTATATTTTGTCATTGTTTACTTTAAGATACCTTTCCTAAGCAAATATGATCGATTGAAAAAATCGTAAAGATTTGGGGGTTTATAAACAGTAATTTGGACTTTGCTAACCAGACGCTTCACTGCAGCTAAATGGTATAGCACGTCAGATCAAATGGAGCTATGGTGTCTCTGACCGGATATTTGATCTAGTCAATTCTTCTTCAGAAATCGGGTAAGATCATACTGAACGGTGAGTCTTCTAGAGCATTTTCTATTCATGAAGGGCTTCCACAGGGGCTCTATTCTTGGACCTACGTTGTTTCTTATCATCATCAATGACCTTCCCGGTAGCATCAGCTACCAATTAGGCATTTATGCTGATAACACAACCATTTATTCCTGTCGTAATAGTAAGTTCGACATGGCCGACAAAGTAGGACCGAAAGCTACTCTCAAAAATTCAATCCAGTCAGTTGTTAACTGCAGCAACAAATGCTATGTAAATGTTAACACTTCCAAAAGGAAACTGTTATTTTTCAGGCATCATAGAGAACCATTTTCGCCCTTGATCAGCATAGCTGATGCTAACCTCCAGCCGAGCAACTCTTTGCGACTTCTTGGTGTCACCTTTTCTACTGACATGAAGTGGGGTGTTTATATTGAATCAATTGCTTGGATTGGTGCTAAGAGGTTTAATTCAATGTGTCATGTCAGACTATTTTTCTCATCAGAATGTTGCACATTTATACGCCTACTATTTGTCCGATACGGTGGAGTAATGGATAGCGGCTCGGATTTATGAATCGGAGACCAGAGTTCGAATGCCTATCGAATCCATTACATTCACTTACGTGCTAATACTCTTGGGAAAGGTATGGATCCTCTTCTTCTCCCCCTCAGCTATGGCTAAATAGCCTTGAATGGTAACTGGTCTACCGCAGAAAGAAATGGCAACCTACTGCGGGAAAAAAATATGCCTCGTCAGTTATGAATCGAAAGATACATGATCGCCAAAGCGTGTATTACGCATGGCACATAACTGACTGATTCGTTCGTGCACTGAATATTACTGTCATATATATATCTCGTGATCTTCAACAAAATCCAAAGAAAGGGGTCTGGAATCTTATCGCTATTTTGTAGATATTTTGACTGTTTTCTAATAGAAATTATTACACCTTTTAATTTTTTGTTTTTGTGTACAGATTAACAAGGAGGTATGGTTGGCTAATGGATAGCGGCTCAGATTAAGGAATCGGAGAGCCGAGTTCGAATTCCAGTCGAATCCATTGCATTTACTTATGTGCTAATACCCTTAGGAAAGGTATGAATATTCTTCTTTTCTCCGACCCCCGGGTTCTGTAGCCTTGGATGGCAACTGGTCTCCGACAGAAAGAAATGCCAACCTACTGCGGGGAATAAATCTATCTCGTCTGTCATGTATCGAAAGATACATGATCGCCTAAGCGTGTATCACTCATGGCATATAATTGACTTACAGATTAATAAATTTCCACACTATCACAATTTCACTTTTCCCAATTATTTACTCAATCATTTCATCCAAGGCGATAAAGCCACTATGGCGCAAAGTATTACATGGGAATGGATGGGAATGAGAAAACTTTAGGGCAGAATAAAAGAACAGCACTTACTGACAGTGAAGGAAACTGAGAAAACAACACTGAGGGGAAAGGACACTAAAAAGAATAAGGAGACAGAAAATGACAAAAGGACAATAAAAAGGAGACATAAAATGACGACTGGCGTTTCATTTAAATTTTTGAAGATCGTAGTTGACAGGAAAGCATGAAAATGGAGAAGTACGAAAGAATAAGCTATTAGAATAGAAACTAGGTTTAGACTTAGCAATTTCAACATTACAATGAAGAGACCTAACTGTCACTCTAGTACTGCGCTTAAATTCTTGAAAGCGAGGTCCGAAAGTGCCAATGTATCAATGAGGAAAGCTAATCAGAATAATAGCCATGGCAATAAATATAGAAAAAAAATTTGAATGTACGATATTGTGATTCTTAAGAGATAAGTGTGTCCCAGTTAAGGAATGAGCATCCAGTCTATGATTTGTTTTTTTAATGTGGTCATATTACGATGGCTGATCCATAATAGTGAATTTTGGATTTTCTTTATTTTGATATTATTTTTTAATCTTATTCTCCGAAGGTAAAATATCATTAAATTAGCATCGAGTTACGAACACTTCGAAAATGAAGTCAAAACTTTAAGGAAAGAAAAACAGCCTTTCTTTATTATCCTTCAGTTTTAGTGACTCCTTGGGAAAAATGGAGTGATTTCTTGAAACTTTCTTTATGGTTTTAAATCCTGGGATGTACTTCTCCCAGACAAAGTCTCATCCAAGATAAGAGAGCCTAGTCTACCGTGCTGTTTAATTCCTGGCTTCAAAGAGAAGAATAGACGACTTCCCCTAGGGCATTATTGCGAAAACGAACGTAGCAAACCTTGTCAGGATTTGAACTCGGCCGGTTGACTCCACATCCTCGCCGATAGCGGTCACACAACAACAGCTTATAGAGAGAGAATAAACGAAATGCAGTCTTGTGTGGTGACTTGAGGAATTTTTGCCTGCGTGCTTTGAAGACAATTTGGAATTGTCCAATAAACAAAATCATCCTGTTTCCCCCCCCCAACACTCAGACGGAAGGGGTCCATATATTTACACTTGAAAACCAAATTATTTTGGTTCTTGACAAACCCGGAAATGAAACTGTTCTGTTTTTTTCTTTTCCTTTTCTTTGTCTCTCTCAATCTTCCATGAAATGAAATAGATTAGCAGCTAAATGAAGAAATGAAATGGAAATATGACACCTTCTTCATCTTCTCAACGCTAGAAAAGAAAATATTATTTAGGTTTTGTTGCCATTACCACCAGCAGGTATATTGTTCGACTCATCTTTTTTGTGAGAAACTAATACATTTAGACTGAACCGATTCTTTTCTGTTTTGTTTAATTCCATCTTACTTTTTTACATCCCTTCCAGAAATGGTAGCGAATTTCGCTGTGGAATGACTTCCAGGAATAATTATGAGAGAAGCAGAAAGATACAAGTCTTTAGAAATAAAGAACAGAAAAACATAGCACTAACTACAAAGAATGTATTAACTTATGATATATGAAAGCATTATGGAGGCTGAATGTGATTTTTCTTTTAAACTCGACGCTGAAAGATTAAGAGGAAAGAGCGGGAATTATAATGGAAATGTGATTACGATAGCGAGATGAAAGTTCGTAAAGGCGGCAGAGTTGGGGAGAGAAAGGCGAATGTTAGAAAGGAATTAGGTTCCACCTGATATTAAATGCATTTTCTCAACAAAACAGAACAAAACAAAAATGAAAAGTCAAGCACAAGAAAGTGTCGTTTCAGATAAGGAGCCTCTTTTTCAACTTTCTTGTTGCTGCGAATAAATAAAAAAATATCTTGTTCTTGAGTATATTTGAATAATTTTTATGACTTTTAAATGAATTATAAAACTTATACAATCCTCGAAGCTAAGGGCAAAGCGGGGCAAAACTCGCAAGATATTAACAGTAATTACGATTATCAGTGAATGCCTTCTTCACTTAATTCACTTTCATCAATCCCAAAAAGCGACTGCTAGTTTCAAAAGCTGTTAACAGTGAGCTTAGGGATTACAAGTTTTTCGAACGTAACTTTTTGGCATACGCTGCCTGATCAAATTAAAGGTTAAGGAACTAGCACAATTGGTAAGCATTTTTCGATTCGGAGTTGGTGATTCGTAAAGATGACCTTCCGGCCGACTGGAATGGTTTCTTTTTTATGTACCGTGTCCCCTCAGGACGTAGGCGATCATGGCTCACCACAACCTCTTGTCTCTGAAAGCTCTTAATACATTTTGTCTTTCTGATATTTCTCCTAAACCCTGTTCAGCCATTCATTTACCCAAACTCACTACGTATGTCATGTTGTCGGCATTAAATAACCCATTGAGGTTGATATGCCGTTAAACA